GTCTCTGTCCAAGGTTTTTTAGCTGGAAGTGCTTCAAATATTTTTAAAATATGTATATGCCAAATTTCATTTATGAATGAAAACATTTAAAGAAATGCATGTGTCTGTTATAATATTTCAATATTAGTTTCTGGCCTTTGAATTACTGAATAACATCTGAATATGTTCTTTTATGTGCTGTTAACCCTCCAAACCCTCAGCTCTAAACTCTTTCAAGTGGGAAATTAATAGGTGCTGCAAAGTCCCAATCACATGTACAGAGTCAGAGAAAAGAGCCTCACACCTGGTTTATGGCATGACACTGAGAACCAGCAGATGGCAAGATGTTTGGCGTTCTGTCATCAAAGGCTGTAACACTAGTAAACAAGAACAGCATGCTGTGATCCTTCCTCTCAGCCCCTCTGTCATGCCTAAACAATCTGTGCCAAGCTGTGCACCACAGCCCAGCAAAAACTCACATCCCCATGAAATGTTCTATGACCCCACTAATCATGCTTTAAAGTTTAAACAGTTGTTTCTCTGAAGACATGAAAAAAGTGGTTGTCAGTGTCGATAGAAACAATTAGTTTGCAATGGGCTTGTAAACAAAATATTTGTAAAGAACTATTTGTTGCCTCTCCCTTCTGCAGAGTGACATTTTTATTAGCTCTCTGAGGAGGTTGTGGTACAAAAAATAATTTTTCATCTTTTATTCCATGACTGTGTAGTTATTAGTGTTCATTTCATTAACGCAAAGTATGATGAAAAACGTTTGTTGACAAGCTTTTTTCCTATGACTAAGATGAGATGATGACGAGATGACTGTAAGGTCAAAAAACGATAACTGTGACTTTATCAGCATGCAATATTGTTGATGATATTGGTGAGACTAAAATGTATTTAAAAAAATAAAAACTTTACCAAAATTTTTTTTTCAGTTTTCATTGAAATAACTTATACAAAATATTATTACAGACTGCTGTACACACCTCTACTAAACGAGCTTTCATGTGTGCAGTTGCAAGAGTTCAAATCCGCAAATCAGAGCTTCGCTGTTAAAGGTGGGGTAAGTGATTTCTGGTAGCCAATGTTGATATTTCAAATCACCAAAACAAACATGCCCCTATTTTGATAGTTCCACCCCACACATACAGTGGGGGAAAAAAGTATTTAGTCAGCCACCAATTGTGCAAGTTCTCCCACTTAAAAAGATGAGAGAGGCCTGTAATTTTCATCATAGGTATACCTCAACTATGAGAGACAAAATGAGAAAAGAAAATCCAGAAAATCACATTGTAGGATTTTTAAAGAATTTATTTGCAAATTATGGTGGAAAATAAGTATTTGGTCAATAACAAAATTTCATCTCAATACTTTGTTATATACCCTTTGTTGGCAATGACAGAGGTCAAACGTTTGCTGTAAGTCTTCACAAGGTTTTCACACACTGTTGCTGGTAATTTGGACCATTCCTCCATGCAGATCTCCTCTAGAGCAGAAATGTTTTGGGGCTGTCGCTGGGTTCTTGCCTTATCGTAAGCCTTCTTTTCCTCTTTTGTTTTTTATCCGCCATCTATATCTTACTGTCGCTCGGCTCGGCTAATGTCCGTCCTGTTCACTGAGCACTCTCTCCTCTGTATCATGAGTAGACACGCCCCTTACTGCTGATTGGCTACCAGTTTGTTTTGGTACTCGGACCGACTCAGTTTTCTAAAGTGTTTTTGAAAAAATACATACCCCACCTTTAAAAGGATATATTTTCTGCCCAGTGTTTTGCTTTATATTTTGCTATCTGGCAACCATGCGTATGCGCTCGTTCTTCATTGCAGAAGTGCCGATGATGATCTGAAAACACTGCTGAAGTTTAGCGTTCTCCATGTAAGATGTTCAGCTTAAATGAAAGTATCATTCAGCCAGTCTGTGTTCTGTCATGAGATCTCGGCTATTTTGTTTGCGATTGTGGTTGCTAAATAAATGCACTTACTCAACCACTGTTGTTTTAATAGAGAAACATTATTGCAATTTGGAAATATTGGAATTACTATTAGGAATTTTACTTTTAGAATATTGAAAAAAATGTAAAATGAAATGTAAAAATAAATTTCTCAAAAAAAAAAAATCTGTTTAACTATTATAAAGCATAACAAAAATGTGGCAAAGTTTTAATTGACTAAAACTAGACTAAAATGCTCAGACATTTAGTAAAGTAGAGTAAATCTTAACTAAACAAAAATGGGACATGGTTGACTTAATATGATAATAACTAAAAAAGGTACATTTGACACCAGGACTAAGACTAATTTAAAAGACTAAGACTAAGAATAAATAAAAAAAATGGCTGACAAAATGAACACTAGTAGTTATAAGCATATCTGTAACGAACAAGGAGCTACATTTGGCACGTGCATGAAATTCTGTCAGTTTCTTCACCTTCATGTTGTTTCAAACCTGTTTGACTTACTTTTAGTAGAGCACTAAACAAACAACTGAACATCACATTCAGATTTTTTTCTTGGTTGTGTTTTTATGTGCATTTACAATGAATGCTGACTGAGGTCTTGAAGCTTGGGCGGATGTAAAGGATGTAAAATCTCTATCATGAAAAGCTATAAAATCATAAAAGCTATGTTTCTGTTCATTTAAAATCATACAGTAGCCACAAAAGAATGAAAGAAGTGTTTGGATCAACGTGAAGATGAAAAATTACTAATTTATTTTTGGCAGAATTTATTTTTGGCTGAACTATTTTGTTAATTTGTATGTATTGAAGTTGAAATTAAACGGAAAATATATTTTTTTCTGTATTGTAACATACATCCAAAATTATGATTATGGAAAAATTATTGGAGAAGTTCATCACTAAAGAGAAGCCTATAATTTCACTGGAGTTATGACATTTTGATTTAGAATTACAAAAAAATAAAAAATAATAATTCACGCATGAATTATTCACAATAACAAATCAATAACTTGCATTTAGAAAATAGGGTGCATTTCATGCCAGCTTTAATAACATGACAGAAGTAATCGAAACTGGCTGCACTTATTGGTCCTCTCCCAGAGTGCAGTGCATAAAAGATAGAAAGCCCTGAGCCAGTGACAGAGCTAAAGACAACTGATATCCTTTAGTCCAGCTGCTTGCCAAGGGACTTGTTAGGGGCTTTCCTATTTATGCCTACAACATAACATGCCATTTCTCCTTTGGGCACATCTATCCATTTATTAACCGGATGTCTGAGCCT